GCAGCTTATCTGGCAGCCCGGGGCGTGGCAGGAGCCGTGAGCAGCCCTTGTCCCTGGGGAACTCAGCATGTGTGTGCGAGTCAGCTTAAACGTGAGTGGTATTTCTGCTCCAGGAGACCAAAGCAGCAGTTCTCATCCTAATTTTTTCTCGTCTTGTTTACCCCTCCATGGTACATCTGCCCAGCTCAGCCCGGCTGCAGCCTCCCAGCTGGCAGCCTGCCTCCGGCCAGGGCTGAGCTCTTCCTCCTCATCCTCAGCGCCAGCACAGGAACCCCACAGCGAAGCTGCGGGCTCTGCAGACCCTGGGGGTGGTTCGTGGGGCCAGAGTGGGCGCTGCCGTGGGGCGCTTGCTTTGGGGACCAGTGCGGTGCCTTTAGGCTGGCGAGGTGCAGGATTATTTGTGCTGGTTCTTCTCCTCAGGGTTTGACACGGTTTGATGGAAACAGCCGCTCGCAAACGGCTGCTGTGGGGCTCGCTGGGCAGATCTCTGCTGACAGGGGGGCAGAGGGGGGATGCCCTGGGGTTTGGGGGTGCCTGGGAGCTGCAGACAGGGAGGTGACTTTTTTTTTCTCTGCTCCTATAGCAGAGGCATCTGTCACCTTGCCCAGCGCACCGGTGACCAGCGCCACCCTGCAGTGCTTGCAGCAGCTTGCTCCGCTCTCCAGTGGCACGCCGATGGCTCCCAGCCCGGTTAAGAAGAGGAGGAGGTCAGAGATGAGCAGCTCCTCCCAACTGGGAACTTCCCGCAGCCTCAAAAGGCAGGGGAAACGCCAGCAGAGACGGGGGAAAGAAGCAGAGACCCCCATGGAGACGCAGAGCCCAGGCAGCCCCTGTCTCAAAGCAGCAGCCCCGGCACCCCCTATCTCCCCGGTGCCATCGTGTTGCACCTCCAAAGTCTGCCTGCCGACGGTCACCAAAAGCCGCCCGCCCCTGGCGATGTTGGCTGCCCAGAACCGCTGCGCCCCGCCTGCTGCGCCCATCCACGACCTGAACGTGACTTTTGAGATCCGCAAGGCCGATGCGGCCAGTCTGGCTGCCTTCGGCCTGCCTGGGTTCCCTGACTGGGAGAACGACCAGAGCCTCCCGAACAAGCAGGACGGCCCCTCGGTGCCCAAGTGAGTGCTGCCCTGGATGGGTTACCCGTGGTTTTGGGGATCCCCCCTCCCTGTGATCTTGCTGTCCGGGTGAGTCGTTCGTGGATCACTGCAGCTCTGCTAAGAGGGGACACTGGGTGAAATGCTCGGCGTGCGGACAGGCAGCCAGCAGGCCGAGCTCCTGCATGAATTGCTTGCAAAGATACAAAAATCATTCCAAGAAAATCTGTTTCTCCTTCTCCTTTTCCCTTTGGACATGGAGGAGCATCCTCCAGATGGTTCTGGAGCCCCAGGCACTGGTTGGGCATCGCTGCTTCTCCCAGAGAGGTCGAAGTGAGAGTCGGGACTGCCCAGTGTGGGGGTTTTAGTTGGGGGTTTTTTGTGGGGTGGTGGTTGGTTTTTTTTATTGCTGGTGCTTCAAAGAGGCTCTGGCTCTCACTGAGCTGTGTGAATTTTTGTGACCATCCACAAGGAGAGTGGCATGCCCTTGGCAATGCAGGACACTCTTTGGTCTCCCCCGTCTCCTCCTATAGCTCCAGGAAATAATCCCTAGAGAGGGAAAGTGGGGAAACTGAGGCACAAGGGAACAGCCCAACCACCTTGGGGAGCAGCAGTACCCGGGTGGCTGCCGCCTCCTGCACGGATCTCCTGAGGATTTATCCCTGTTTTAATCATTCTCCCCTACAAAATGGGGCAGGGTTCCTGTGACTTCTGTTCCCTGCAGGTGGATGGCCTTGGCCCGGTGGCCTCCCAGGCTCCGGCCCCGGCACTAACCCTCTTTTCCTTGGCCACAGAACCTGCGCCCCAGCGTTTGCTGTGAGGGGATCCTCCACCCCCAAGGCCGCCTTGGTCTGCAAAGCATCCGCCCAGAAGCGGAGACGAGTGGAGAGGTGAGACAGCCGCTGGCTCTCCGCACGGGCAGCAAGGGCTGGCAGCTCCTGCCCGCGCTCCCCTCTGGGGCTCGAGCCCCCATCCCTGCCTGTGACATCTGGGGACGATGGGGGTACCTCTGCCCCGAGCCTTGGGGGTTTAAAATGTCCCTTTTCTCTTCACAGCTCTGCTGCCTCCTCCCTGCCCAGGTTCCAGAGCCGCGTCGCCCAACTCTCGAGCAGCGGCCAGCGACCTACGCGGCCCTCCCGCATCCTAGGTGAGCCCTGCGCCCTCTGCACCCGGGGAGCGACCCCTGCCTGGGGGCAGGGGGAAAACCAGTTTGGGGGGAGGAAATACCCAGCATGGGGATGTTTAGTGCGGGGTGAAGGTGTCGTTTGGGGTTTGCTGCTTCCTGGCTGCAGCCGCAGGGAAGGGCGGTGGGTGCTTGGAAAGGGGTAAAAGGAGGAGGGAGCTGGCAGGGGAGGGGACCCGGGTTTGCTGCTTTACCCAGGAGCTGCCTCACCTGCTTCTCTCCTCTTTCCATCCTCAGAACATCCTTCAGGTGCTCTGGCCTGGAAAGGCAGCAAGAGGACCACCAAAGCACTGGCAGCACTCGGCAGCGCCCCCCCTGCTGCCACCCCCCAGCCAATGAAGCTCTTATGCTGATGGCCTCCATGTCCCACATCCCAACCCAGGTCCCAAACTTTTTTCCTTTTCCTGGGAGCCCTGTCCCCCCACCCCCCTTTGCCCCTACAGTCACCCTGGTTGTGTCCCCCATTGCGTGTACCCCCCCCTCAGCGCAGCCCTGTGTATTTTTGCAGCAGATGGATTATTGCTGTTCCCTCTCAGCCCCTCTCTAATCCACGCCGGGGTGTCGAGTGCTAACAGATGGGTGATGCTAAGAAATAACACGGGCTTTTAATAAATCCTTTCGTTTCAAAGCAGAGGGAAGACGTGCGGCTGTTTCTTGGCGCCTCCCCCTCGCACGGGGAGCTGGGGCTGGGTAGTGGCTCCCGTCTGAGCGGGCCTGGAAAAGGCTCTTTGTCCTGGGGGTGGGCTCCAGCCTGCCTTCCCCTCTTCACCCCACGTTCTCCCCTCAGCGCAGGGGCCCTGGGGGTGACTTCTGCCCCCCCGCTGTGCCTGGGGGGGTCTGGGTTCCTTGCCCAGTGTCCCGGGGTGCCACCAGGGGTGGTGGATGCTGCTGCCGTCCAACTCCTGCTGCTTTGCCTAGAGATGGAGGAAAGCATCAGCGCTGTTTCCCCCTGCTGCCTCGCTGCCTGTGAACCCCCAGTTCTGGGCCCGAGAGCTCTGAGCATCCCTGACCACCCCCTGACCTGCTTCCTGCTCTCCCAGGGCACATCTGGGCACATCTGCCTGGCTGTGCCAGCTCCTTGTAGCCACCCTCAGAGGTGATGGAGCGGGACGGGGAGTGTGGGCCCAGCTCCGGGTGTGCTGCCGCCCCACAGGGACCGGGGTCACCGGCTCCTCCTGCTCCACTTTCCTGCCTGGCAGCGGCAGGTCTCCCCTTCTGTCTTCTCAGAGGCTGGAAGCTTCTAATTAAAACTTCCAGCCTGCTCCCAGTTCGTTTGTCTCATTAAGAGGGGGCCAGGGAGGAGGAGGAGGGGGGGAGCCCAGCTCTGCCTCCCCGCAGCCGCAGGGAGTGACAGCTTTCCGTACTTTGATCCCGGCTGCGTAGGAGAAAATAAATCTCTGGGGAGCAGCGCGGGGGCTTGTGCGGGAACCCGGAGCACCCCCGTGCGCCCGCTCTGGCCACTCACTGC